GTGCTTGGGATTGCCCCGACCCATGTGCAGGACCTTGCCCTTGGCCCTGCACCTGGGAGATCCCCTTTCATTGAAGGAAGAGCCGCTATTGGACAGTGTTGTGCAAGGGTCAGACGTGACAGGATCAAACCTCAGGAGAAGTATTATAAATGATCCACAAGAAGGTTCATCACAGAGGAAAAACGCAGGCTCCTGGCCTGAGACAAACCCTGGGAAATGTGCAAAGGGGAGTCAGGTTCCTGTTGGGCAAGGTTCCTCGGGGCATCCTTGAGCTCCTGGTTCCTCATGCTGTAGATGATGGGGTTCAGTGCTGGAGGCACCACTGAGTACAGAACTGCCACCACCAGGTCCAGGGATGGGGAGGAGATGAGGGAGGCTTCAGGTAGGCAAAGACAGCAGTGCTGATGAACAGGGAGACAACGGCCAGGTGAGGGAGGCACGTGGAAAAGGCGGATGCTCGTGGAAAGGGCTTTGTGCCGTCCCTGCCGAGTGGGGACCCTCAGCACGGCCCTGAAGATCTGCACGTAGGACAGCCTATGGGCACACCCAACAGCCTGAAGCTTGTGTGGTCTCCTGCTGTGACAGGAGCGCTCTCCATGTGGCTGCATCGGTTCTACTGGGTGTCAGAAGTCCGGGAGAAGGCTGAAGCCATGGCTTTTTGCTGGGTGGTCACCACGCTGCCACACATCTCACTCAGGCCGTGTCAAGGAGTTGCAGCCAATGGCTCAATGTCTGAGTGGAGATCGGTAATGAGTGAATTTCCTCAAAGGTCTGTCTTGAGACCAACACTATTTAATATCTTCATTAACACTCTAGACAGCTGATGAAGTCCAACAAGGCCAAGTGCAAGGTCCTGCACTGGGTTGGAGCAACCCCCGACACCAATACTGGGGGGTGAATGGATTGAGGGCAGCCCCGCAGAGGACCTGGCAATGCTGGTAGGTTCAAAACTGGACATGGACCAGCAACGTGCGCTCGCAGCCTAGAAAAACAACTGTGTCCTGGGCTGCCCCAGCTGTGGCCAGCAGGTTGAGGGAGGGGATTCTGTCCCCCTGCTCCGAGATTCTGTCCCTCTCTCACGAGACGAAGGTGATTCTGTCCCTGCAGAACTGCATCCAGCTCTGGGGTCTCCAGTACAAGGCAGACATGGAGCTGGCAGCACTGGTCCAGAGGAGGCCACGAGAAAAGACCAAAGGGCTGGAGCACCTCTCCATGAAGACAGGCTGAGAGAGTTGGGGTTGTTCAGCTTTCTCAGAAGAGAAGGCTCCAGGGAGACGTTCTTGTGGCCTTCTTGTGGAGGGTGTCCCTGCCCATGGCAGGGGGGTGGGACTGGATGGGCTGTGAGGTCCCTTGCACCCCAAACCATCCTGTGACGCGATGATTCTGTGATTTTATGCACTTTGATTTTTGAGGCAGCAGAAGGAGGATGTTCTTCTCTTCAGCGCTGGATGTGAAGGTAAATAAAGGGGTTGAGCAAGTCTGGGCTTGGGAGATCTGGGGTGATAAAGGAGCACCAGCAGAGCTTTGGAATGAGATGAGCAGGTTTTGGGCAACTCAGAGGCCCTGGGAGCTCCTCAGAAGACCACAGCTTTGTGTTGGAAGCAACATGCAGCGAGGCCAGAGATTCACCAGTAAAGCTGGGACCAGCATCCTTGGGTCAGAACGAGTTGAGCAGCCCCAGCGTCTCCTCACTCGCCCTCTGTAGAGCATGGGAGGTGTCCCACCACTGTCCTGCACGTGGCATTCCGCACCCTCACATCGCACTGCCCCCAGGAAGGGACCCCAACATCCCGTCAGGGGAAGGACCCCTGTTCCCAGGGGATGGAGCCTGGGGCTTGGCCATCCTGCATGGGGAACCTGGCAACCTGGTCTAGGGTGTCCCTGCCCATGGCAGGGGGTTGGACTAGGTGCTCTTTGAGGTCCCTTCCCACCCAAACCATTCTATGATTCTAGGAAACACATCGGTTCCTTTCACAGCCACCTCCAGGTTTGATTTTCTGCCGGTACCCAGCGCCTCTGCGTTCCTCCGTCACCAGCCCGCAAGGGAAGCCCAGCTCTTCTGGCCGTTGCCTCCGTCCTCTCTTTGGTGATGGTCCTCAGTGGGGTCCACCAGCCTCCTCAGAAACTGGGATGTTTGCTTCTGACTGTTACTCCTCTTGGGGCGGTCAATCCTTCCGTATCTGCAGTTTGGGAGCGTGGCACCAGAGGGCTCGTTAGCATGCAAACACCCTGACGAGCAAAGCCTCTGGGCGTAACTTTCATTAATTCCTCAGTTCTCTTGTGGTTAATTAGTGAGACTTTGGAAGTGCAGCCAAAGCGAAAAGATTTCAGTAACAAACAACAAGAAAGGATTCTTCTTTTCAAAGTCCTCTTTGAGTTTACAGATGAAGTGACATCGTCATTCTCTAACGGATATTGATCCTGAGCATTCCTAGCGGACTTGACCCTGCAGCCAACTCAAGACCCTTTACGTTAGGCACCGTATGGATGTTCTTCATCCCGACGCCCGTCTTTCTCTCATCAGCCCCCTGGGACTTAGGGCAGCCCCGGTACAAGCCGAGCTTTCTGCTCTAAAGCCTGTACCCGCGTGGCTCAGCCTGGTGGCACCAACACCTGCTTGCTTTATTGGGGAGCAAGGTGCAAGCAGACACAGGGGGATGCGTCTTACTTCCCAGCAAACAAAAACAACGGCAGGTTTACTTCATTTAAAAAAAAAAGAAAAAGAGGGAAAAAAAAAAAAAGACGGTCTTCACCTGCGTATTAAGTCCACGTTACTGCCGCTGAAGTCTGCTTTCCGCAGCAGATAGCTTTAGGCCGATAGAAAACACATTTTTGTGCCAAGCACAGGTTCCACGACGCCCCAAAGCGCTTCCTGCCCCCGACTCTCTGCGTCCACATTCAACCCTTGCCCACCGCGAGTCACACGCTGAATTCACAAGCTGCCTCGAGTCGCAGAGGGCAGCAAAGAGACCAAGTGAATGGAACGCTCTCCTTTGAACAGCCAAATCTGCACTAAACCCAAATATCTGGGTTACAGAACACCTTCAAGCTGACACTGCAGCATCTAGACCACCTTATTTTTCGTTTGCTGTGGGGTGAAGTACATGTGGCTCCACCGTAGGTGAAGGCAGATGAGAGTGTTCTCCTCCGGTGTTGGACACCTCGGGTGCAATTGTGTGGTCTTCCCTTTCTAGTCAAGGCAGAGAAATCAGTTGTCTCAACTTGGATGCCTTGGCCGTCCCTGTCTGCCCACCAGCTCCTCTTCCAGAGAGGCTCCATAGCTCCTGGGCCACCTTTCCCAGTCTCACATCAGGCATCAGCCTCCCACCCCGGGAGTCTTGGAGGTGGCAGATTCCCTGGGGGACCTGATTGTCCACCTCCATGTGGGCAACCGCAGTAAACCCAGAGTGAAGACGTTAGGCGGGAGTTGAAACACGTGCAGAAAAGACCTCAGAATAATAAGGGTGCGGGAAAACTTTATTTCAGAACTTTGATGTTGGTTGGTTTAGGGGGTTTTTTTTAGGACATGGACCAGCAAGATGATGACACTGCCTCTCCCTTTATGCAAATATAGATTGATATGGACATTTCTAGAATATATTTCCTCCCAACACTTTGAATGGTGAAACTGCGTTCCAAGGATACATTTCTATTAATACCTTTCACACCTACATTTCATATCTACAAAGAGCCGTGAGCACGGTACGCTGAAGATGGATAGATCCCACCGCCATTTCTTTGCTATCAAGTGCTGGCCGCACGTGCTAGCACTTCCCTCCTACCACTCCCAGATCTTTACGGGTTGTACAATGGCACAACACCATGGCTGTGCAAGTGCCAGACTTGAAGCACCGAGGCCCAGGGCGCAGCAGTTTCATGGCAGACCCTCTACAGAGGAACCCAGAGGGTGCCACCACGCCAAGGCCAAAGCTGGGCAACTGGACCCTTCATTTTAGGCCTGATCTTTGCCGGGGATGAGATTCATCCAACTCAGTTTTAAGAATCATGGAATCATACAATCTTAAGGTTGGAAAAGACCTCTAAGATCATCAAGTCCAACCATCAACCCAACTCCTCCATGCCTACTAAACCATGTCCCAAAGTGCCACGTCTACATGTCTTTTGAACACCTCCAGGGATGGTGACTCCACCACCTCTCTGGGCAGCAAGGGTTTTAAGGGGGGATGGTGACTCCACCACATCTCTGGGCAGCAAGGGTTTTAAGGCTTGGACTAAGTCACTCATGTTCAGTTTTTCATCAATCAACACCCCCAAGTCCTACAAGAGTAGTTGTGAGCTGCAGCTCCCCGGCCAGAACCGGTCCTGCAGAAGGGAACGATCATGTCCACTGGCTGTGCTCCTGCTCTCGCCCCCCCAACACCCCCAAGTCCTTCTCCTCAGGGCTGCTCTCAGCCCATTCTCTGCCCAGCCTGGAGTTCTGCTTGGGATTGCCCTGACCCTCGTGCAGCATCTCCACGCAGCTCCAATTTCCTCTTGTAAATGACCTCTGCCATATTTAATCTATGACAGCCATGGACACGTCACTCAGTGTCACCAGCCATCGCCTCCACTGTCGCTGGACACCAAGGAGTGAGTCCTGAATTGAATCCTCCATCTCTACAAGGTCACAACGTGGCCAGGAGGCGTTTGCGCCTCAAGCTGTGCAGAACCCAGAGCAACGGTCCTTTTTGGGATGCAATTAGTCACGCGTACTCTTGACACAAGTGTTGGAAGACAAGCCCAGCGTTCACACACGACATGGAGGAGATCCCGTTTTATTACAGAGATGCTGTGAGAGGTTCAGCTCTGACCCAAAGTCTAACACCATTATAGAAGCTCCAGGTAAGAGAGAGCAGGTTCATGCCTCTATAGAAGCGGGAGGAACGTTAAACACCGCTGTAGGACCATTATAACAAAAATGATGGTAATAATAGTAAAGAGAACAAAAAAAACCTCCGGACTGCTGTGGAATATGGAATTTGTAGACAGAAATGGAAAATTTACCTCTGCTTAAAATGTGTCCATGAAACTGTGTTCCTGATAGCATGCTTGAGCTCCTGGTTCCTCATGCTGTAGATGATGGGGTTCAGTGCTGGAGGCACCACTGAGTACAGAACTGCCACCACCAGGTCCAGGGATGGGGAGGAGATGGAGGGAGGCTTCAGGTAGGCAAAGACAGCAGTGCTGATGAACAGGGAGACCACGGCCAGGTGAGGGAGGCACGTGGAAAAGGCTTTGTGCCGTCCCTGCCGAGTGGGGATCCTCAGCACGGCCCTGAAGATCTGCACGTAGGACAGCACGATGAACACAAAACACCATAAGTTCACAAAGACACTGACCGCAATAAGCCCAATTTCCCTGAGGTAGGTGTCTGAGCAGGAGAGCTTGAGGATCTGGGGGATTTCACAGAAGAACTGGTCCAGGGCGTTTCCCTGGCAGAGCGGGAGTGCAAATGTATTGGCAGCGTGCAGCAGAGCGGTGAGAAACCCACTGCCCCAGGCAGCTGCTGCCATGTGGGCACAAGCTCTGCTGCCCAGGAGGGTCCCGTAGTGCAGGGGTTTGCAGATGGCCACGTAGCGGTCGTAGGCCATGATGGTGAGGAGAAAATACTCCCCTAACATCAAGAAGGGAAAGAAAAAGACCTGGGCAGCACATCCTGCATAGGAAATGGTCCTCATGTCCCAGAGGGAGTTGAGTATGGATTTGGGGAGAGTGGTGGAGATGGCGCCCAGGTCGAGGATGGAGAGGTTGAGGAGGAAGAAGTACATGGGGGTGTGGAGGTGGTGGTCGCAG